TTTTATCATCTCTAAATTAAATGCAAAATTTAAGATAAAACTATCTCATCAATCATTGTACATGCCCTTGCCGCCAGCCTGCCACACCACTCATTCTCCAGTCGCCCCGGCCAGAAATATCGCCAGCAGCCTCCGTTCCGGCACGGCGGGCGGCCACAGCCACCCAAGCCAAACCCATCGCTCCTGCCCTAGCATCCAAATCTCGCGCCGCACTGCCCCTCCCGCCAGACCCGCACCAGCAGAGCACCCTCAAACTTGCCCAAAACCAGACCGCCCACCCCAGACTTGGCATGGAAAAGAAATCATCGAGACGCAAACTCCTTCGCTTCGGGGCCACCTTTCGCGCCGCGCCTCTCCTCGGCTTTGACCGCACCCTCTCACCCTAACCGCCCCAACGCCGCCCTCGCCTCCTGCGCGGGCGCCTACACCACGCATGCGCGCCTGCCTGTGGCGTGCCCTTCTTCCGCCATGGCGAGCGACCCCGGCGGCGACGGCGACGCGTGCCCGCTATGCGGCAGCGGGGATGACCAGGCGCCGGTGACGGCCGCCCCTGCGCGCGTCACGCTCCGCAAGCGGAACCTGCCAGCGGAGGCCGTCGCGCGGGTGGGGCCCGGCGACGAGGCGGCCGCGCCGCGTGAGGCGGTCGCGTGGCAGCAGAGCGGCATGGTGGAGCTGCAGGAGGAGCTCGAGGCGGAGCGCCGCGCCGCTGCCGAGGCCGCCAGCGAGGCCATGTCCATGATCCTGCGCCTGCAGCGGGACAAGTCAGAGGCCATGATGGAGGCGCGCCAGTTCCGGCGGTTCGCCGAGGAGCGGTTCGCGCACGACGCCTCCGAGGTCGCCGCCCTCCACGACGCCATCGCGCGGCGTGATGCCTCCATCCAGTCGCTCTCGGAGCAGCTCCGGGTGTGCCGCTCCCGCCTCATCCAGCTCGGGTTCCTCTCCCCGTCGTTCCTCCCCTCATCTCCCACAGCCGCCGCGGGGGACAACCTCTTCGCTGACGACTACCCTTCCATCCAATGCCTCGATTATCCTGCGCCCTCCGACGTCGGTACTCCACGCACCCACCACATGCTCTATACAATGCCCGGCCGAGATGCCCATAAGGGGGTCATCTGCTCTTCACCACGGCGCCAGCGCCATGGGCGCGCACTCTCCAATGACAGCTTGTATGATGGCGGCATTGCAGCGGCTGATGAGTTCACGTACGTGGTGGAGCAGGACGTGTCGGAACTGGATGATGACTGCGACCGGGTGTACACTGTGGACGCAGTGCATCGCGTGCCTGTCGCCGCACCTGAGGACTGCTGCTACTTTCAGACACCGATGGGGAACGACGTGGGCTTTGTTGATGGGGTTGGGGCGTGGGCTGAGGAGCAGCGGATACAAAAGCTCAGTGCAAGGCTACAAGCGCTGGAGGCAGATCGGGAGTCGATGCGGCATGCAATCATGTCAATGGGAGCAGAGAAGGCGCAGGTTGTGATGCTCAAGGATATCGCTCACCAGCTCTGCGAGGAGGCAGCACCATTGCCTGCAGTTTCATTGAAATTGCATCCAGTGCCGCAAGCGGTAGTAGCGCCAAAGAGGAAGTTGGTGAAGAGGCAGCCTTTCTGCGTGAAATTCTTCATTGTGACCGCAATTAAGGTAAACTCAGCTGGTCTCGTGCTTCTATAAATTCTTAGTTTGTTCATAGTGATCCATGAGTTATAAGTAAACCGGTACATTTAAGTATTCTTCATTTCTTCATGTTGTAATACTGGGTTTTGAGAAAACGACACACACTATAATAGTAATAATCTAGACATGCAACAAGGCATTGCTATATGTGTGCTGAATATGATCAGAGTAAATTATTAGAAGTGCTTTATTGCTCTATATAACTAGCGGAAAATCATAATTGTAGTCCTTTATCAAATTAGGAATATTTGTGGTTGCACTACTGCAGTGGCTCAGCTTATTTAGATATTTGGATATTTTAAGGAGAAAAGTTCACTTTATAACCCTAAACTTGCCACTCGGTTTAAGGTTCAACTCCCAACTTTAAAACCGGTTATTGCACTAACCAGCCGGTTTAGTAATCCCCGACCGAGTTGACTGCTGATTGGTTATCATCAGTGCGGGCTGGATCCTCTCTCACATTTCCTTGTGCCCAAGCCCTCTCCATGCAGCCGTTGCCGCTGCGTCCCCACTATCCATCCACGCTGCGCCTGGTGCTCCTGGGCCGGTGTCGGACCCCGGATTTGGAACTATTCCAAATTTAGCTTTCTGCCAACTGAGGATATGTACATGCATTAATACACACTTATGTTTTTTTACGTGGTTGTATCACCACAAGACTCAAACGGTAATATAACATAGGAACGATGCTCACATGAGCTAAAATAATACTCCCTCCGTCCCAAAATAAGTGTCGCTGATTTAGTACAACTTTGACGAAGGGAATAAGTATTACATCTGGAGACCGGAAATATCCAAGGTTACATCATCCAAGAAAAAGATCAAATAGTTTGAGGGCAGTCAAAAAAGCAAATGGCCTAAGAGGGCCGGGAATAAACAACATCCTGCCCACAATCTCAGCCAGCCACCGGGGAACCTCTGGTCCACTCATGGCGTGCAAGCTCAACATAGTAGTCACCGTCGAAGTCGGAGTAGTCCTTTGCAACAAATGGTGGTTGAAAAACAAGGTGAGCACATGATGTACTCCGCAAGACTTACACCAGATCTATTCTAAGTATGCATTGTTCTAAAAAAATGAGGAGGTTTGAGCCGCAGCAAGCACTAGCATCCTATAGAGACACGCTGCAACTTGCGTCTATTAGAGATGAGGAAAGAGAGCGTACCCAAGGTAAGATAGCGTAAATGGTCCATCTATTATATCCATTGTTTTTAAGGCGGTAAGGCGACCTAAGGCGATCACCACCCGCTCTAGCGCCTAAGGCGGGCATATTTATAAGGCGCTGCCAGGATGCCTTATCGCCTAAGCGTCCAAGGCAGGACGTCTTAAAAACAATGATTATATCCACCTAACCTAACCGCAAACATAACACGGCCTTGCATTCCCCTTCGTATACACACGAAGAAGAATCCTCAAGACACAATTTTGGTTGAAGTTGTTCTCCGATCAAATACAACATCTCCAAGTCCATAACCATGGACACAACTACTCAGATAGATTATTTAACCCTGCAACAAGTCCATAACCATGGACACAACTACTCAGATAGATTATTTAACCCTGCAGAGGTGTACCACTGTTAAAGCGCAACATGCCTTTTGTTATGGATACAACTTATCTCTACTGCATTTATATATATATTACACAAGACTTGGGGTTCAAGGAAAAACACATAGCTTTTTAAGGACTCCTAGACCAATACTAACACTCCTTACCAGCCCCCTCAAATGCAAAGCATATGCAATAGCATTGCATTTGAAGAAGTGTAACCCTACAAAGAAAGTGATAATCCAAAATCCACGTCTTTGACATTGTTGTCGTAGCATGAAGAGTTCTCAAAACTTGTCTGAGTCAAGCCAAAGGGGATAACGAGAAAATGGTGCATCAGAGGAAGACACCACATCAGTAGAAGATACAAGAGAAATATCAAGAGAAGATGGGTTGTCAAAGAAGATGGCACACAAGAGGATGAAGCATTGCACACAAAATCATAGCCCAAGAAAACCGACGGCAAAAGAAGCTCAGCGACAAGAGAATCGGCATAGATCGACAATGGAAAAAGAGAGCCACGAAAATCCTATAGAAAACAACAAGGACCGAAAAAAGAGGCTGATGGACAAAGGTTTGGTGAACTCACATGACATGAGAAACACGAAAAAGAGCAATGGACTTGGTGGACGCAGCGGAGAATATAGAAAACTAGAAAGCGCATATAGACTAGGGTGATGGGAGCGGAAGAAAATCATGGCGGCGAGGGCCAAAACCAAGCAGAGCTCTTGTGATGTGTTCCTGACAATGAAGGGGGTGGTCTCTCTGAGCTAGAAGAGTCAGCAAAAAGACCAGTAAACTCTGTTGAAGAAGAACCCAAAGCTGCAAGCAGATGCCTAAGTCGCACAATATCTTGCTTAGTGTCCCAGTCAGGGACACTGTTGAAGGGGCTGGGATAGAAGCACAAGTCCTTGAAGTCGCTGTACGCGCCGGGCATAGATGTCGGTTCTTCAAGAAGCAATCAAGCTCGGGGTGACCATACTTTTTGCGTATCCGCAATGAGTACGAGAGCGGTCCTCACCACCACCAGGAGGAGTGGCGGAGCACTGGAGCGGGAAAAAACCGGTGCGGCAGACGGCATAGCAGGAGCTCAAGCAGCGACCAACGAGGGAACATCAATGAAACTTGCACCACAAAGACGAGTCTCATTAGCCCAAATCTATGAAAGTGCCTCAAGAAGAGATATGAACATGAGCAAACAACTTAGCACACAGTGACTCAAACTCCTTACGAAGCCGAGGCAAGAACTCATAGACGCGATGAAACTCCAAGCTTGATAGCACAACTTGGCAACACTGGCAAGTACAACAACGAGCAGCGCGAAGAGAGTCAAGCTGGCGCTAGATAGCAAAACTATGTGCGTAGGAATCATCAATAGTGGATCTCAAAAAAAAAGGAATCATCAATAGTGGAGACACCTTGCTGAAGAGCATGCTCCTGGGGAACCACGCACACGTATAAGGCGTCACCAGAGGGCTGATAGCACTGGCAAAAACATGTCCACAACCCGAAGACGGTAGCGAGGCCCATAAATTCAGAGGCAAACTGAGGCAGAACACTGGAAGTAAGAATAGACGCAACACAAGCATCAACATCAAACCATCGAGTGTAAGTAGACAGAGCATCACGATAAGACGGAAGAGCCTCCTCATAGGCCAAAACCTGCTGCTTCTAAGCACAAACCACAGTCTCATCAGCAAGCTTAGATGCGTCCTTGGCAAACTTAGGAGCATCCGCATCAAGAGCCGGTGGCGTCGGAGGAGTAGGAGCCTCAAGAGGAACCAGGCACGGTGGGCATGAGACCTCGCCAGGAAAACACCGTAGAGACAAATACCACACATATAAAAGCGAAAGAAGGCGACAAACTTGGTGTGTTAGTACCATCAAAACTTACTGGGCAACGTGGAATGATGACATAGCTTGACAACATATACATTGTATCTGTTTTTTGTTGAACAAATTGAGGTGAAACCAGTTAACCAGGAACCAACGAACATGGCAGCCGGAGGTTACTGGTCTGTCAAATCAGCTTGCAGCCCGCACAGGACGGAAGTGGCGGTGGCTTAACAGTAGACCAAGCCCAGCGGATGGATCGGGAGCCGGACTGGAACAACTGGTCAATGGGCCGGTGGATCAGAGCGAAGCAGCCCTGGAATCGGCAGATCGAGGTGGAGTGCCGGCAGATCGAGGCGGAGCAGAAGGGGGTGATGGTTGGGCGGGAGCAGCGGGATGTGGTAGAGGCTTTTGATCTAAGGGAGCAGCACGCGAGCATGCGGGGAAGCAACAACGACCAGAAGCAGACACATTGTGGACAGTTTTGCTTGGACTATGAGCTATGAGCAAGCGACAAGCTATGAACACGAGCGAGGAAGGAACGAGAGGCACTGAATCTTTTCTGTGAAGCTGCCCTTTTCTTCTCTATCAGTAGTATCATGTAACACCCACGATGCGGCTATATCTCCCACGTGTCGGAGCACGACTTAGAGGCATAACCGCATAGTAGGCATGTCACAAGAGGGGTAATCTTTACACATCCCATGTACTGAATATGAAAGGGATAAAAAGTTGGCTTACAATCGCCACTTCACACAATACATGAATATAGCATTACATCATCCAGAATAGAATCAAGGTCCGACTACGGAACCAAATAAAGAAAGACAACCCCTAATGCTAGATCCCCGATCGCCCCGACTGGGCTCCACTACTGATCAACGGGAAACGAAACAACACAACGAACACAATCTTCATCGAGCTCCCACTTGAGCTGGGTTGCCGCGTCACCTGCACTGGTATCATCGGCACCTGCAACTGTTTGGAAGTATCTGTGAGTCACGGGGACTCAGCAATCTCACACCCGTGAGATCAAGACTATTTAAGCTTATGGGTAGGAAAGGGTAGTGAGGTGGAGCTGCAGCAAGCACTAGCATATATGGTGGCTAACATACGCAAATAAGAGCGAGAAGAGAAGCAAATCAACGGTCGTGAACTAGAAGTGATCAAGAAGTGATCCTGAAACTACTTACGATCAAGCATAACACAAGACCCGTGTTCACTTCCTGGACTCCGGCGGAAAGAGACCATCACGGCTACACACGCGGTTGATTCATTTTAAATTAAGTTAAGTGTCAGGTTTTCTACAACTGGATATTAACAAATTCTCATCTGCCCATAACCGCAGGCACGACTTTCGAAAGTTCAAAACCCTGCAGGGTGTCCCAACTTAGCCCATCACAAGCTCTCACGGTCAACGAAGGATATTCCTTCTCCCAGGAAGACCCGGTCAGACTCGAAATCCCGGTTACAAGACATTTCGACAATGGTAAAACAAGACCAGCAAAGCCACCCGATGTGCCGACAAATCCCGATAGGAGTCGCACGTATCTCGTTCTCAGGGTACACCGGATGGGCAAGACGTCGG